CCAACTGTGACGAAACGTTTGCAAGCCAATTGCCAGGCTCGGCGAACAGATCAACAGCAAGCTGATCAACAACCAACTACTACTCATAATTTTCCAGTCTCTTCACATAGTACTTACAAAGGGGGGAGACAAACATCGATTGGAATGTCTAGAAAGGCTAAAAGAAGACGGCTAAGGCCGCACTTAACAAGGAAAAAGGTTAGCACGCTGAAGTTGAACTGCCGTGCCTCTACCAGTAAAAATGCACGCCCGCAATCGGCAAGGTTATGGGTTATGGTAGGCCCATCGCAAAATTTGAAGGAGCCCGGCAGAAGGTTGATGAACATTGATGGGAATTTCTTCCTGTGAGCGAATCCAGTCGGTCTGTTGGTTTGCCACGTTATGTTTTTATTTTCCGCCGTGAAGCTGTCCTGCGTGTTTTTATCTTCTCCATTCATAATGCTGTCCTGCGTGTTTTTATCTTCTCCATTTTCATCGTCCTCAAGGTCAAAAGACCTCAGAGTCCATATGATGACGAATATACCTTCAGGCTTGAGGCTGAAGAAGCTTCCAAACTCTCCGCGTTTCACTCACGACTGTGAACCCATGGTGGGGTGGATAACATAACCCCAGCTAGCCCAGGCAGATATACACTATTCAAGCGCTCCACTCATCACCCCAAAGGGATCAGGGACTAATGTGATAGGCCAAGAAGTTTGACTAATCACCTTGTTACCTTGCTGCTTACTGGAGGCAGCCGTTACACCGTACCATTCGTTCACAGGGGCCCGTAGACAATTAGTCAAACTCCACTCATTTGTCCACTTTTCAAAATTATTCCGGACAGTCACTAGGCTAGGGATTAGCGTTTGCCCTCCCAGTCTAATTGGCAGCAACTGTCCAGTCTGGTACATAGCGACACACATCACGTTGCGGTTGAAGTCATCCAAGCAACTTCCACAAGGCTGCACAGTGCGCACAACAGCTGACTTGTGCTAGGGGCCATGGCTACCGGCGAAGTTGTGCACGCAACGCTTTCATGGGAGAAAAACAGGGGAGGCTTTATTCACAAATTTCAGAATGTTCAATTCTATTAGTGGTAAGCTATTCACACAGTCTTCCTCGCAAGTCTTCCAGTTTCGAGGGGCTTTCCTCGAAGCCATTGCGTAGAGTGAGTGGACCTTTGTATAACCTCACCGTGCTGGTTTCCAGTTTAGAAGCTACTTTTGCCCCACAAAATCGAAACGGTTAGATTGGCTGTAGTAGGTGGCTGTATTGAAATCAAAAACTGTTTTCTACGGATTTTTAAATCTACATTTGCTGTGACATATCCTGATGGAACGGTGTGGCAGTTTTGATCACATTTCCACAAGCAGCTATTATAGTCTTTGTGTCACCGAATAATGTATGGTAAAGTACTGCTCTTCGGGAATGTACTGATCGCACTGGGCGATATGAGGACAGGACATCATAGTTTCTTTTGATTTCCAGACGTTAAGACAACCGGTGTGTCTACAAAGCAGACTGACTGGCGAAGCAAGAAACTGCATTTTTTTCACATAATTTAGTGCGTGACCCCAAGTCTAGTTTGAATCATCGCACACGCACCTAAACGCAGCCAGACTGTTACGTTTTTTTAACGAACCAGTGACAAAAAACTTTAAAAAAAGTAGAAACTTTGCTTGGTTTGCAGAAATCTGCCTCGACGATATCAGATGACCAATCTGCTCTCGTAAAACACCCAATGTGCTCTCACATATAAACATGGTATGAATGCCATCCATTGGGATGGGTGCTTTCCTGATCGGGTGGTATACGTGACCTGACATGTGTTTTTAATAGGAGAAAAAGCGAATAGAGCGAAAATCCCAACGGAGTGGTTGAGTTTGTACAGGTGTCAGCAGGAGTCACCCTCCCGTCGCTGTTTGCAAAAGATAGGTGATCGGTGGTGAGAAATGAAGTCAATAACATGTGTAGGTTCCTGATGTGGATTTGAACAAGGTCGCCAGTTCACGTAAAAAAAACCACGAAATAGATCATAAGGTTGACGGAAACTTGGGGGCTGCGCCTACCTGATGACCCCAAAGTGGAAGGGCGAAACCGGTCGTGGGCTGTCGAAGAGTTTTCAGCAGCCTTGTGCGTAGTTTCCTTTATGAAAACCACGGATTACTTTAGGCGGTAGTACATTCTCCCTGATAATTGGACTGCTGTGAGAATTTGTATCAGTAGAAGTCTATATCACGGCAATCAAGACTTCGTTGATTGGTGAACTCAGTTCATTCAGAATTTTGGCTCACAGATTCCCTAACTTGCGCGCAAATATTGGTGGGCATACCAACGTCATGGAGCGTTTGGCGCCACTGCTCTAACAATGCCTGTTTGTATGCAATTCCCTTCAGTTTATCTTGATTTTGTGCGGGCGTACAACAACAAAGAATATTCGTCTACCAACCATTCTCGCCCAGCTTCCCGACAAATTGCAACTGACAAATCGAAGTCGGAAACAGTAATATGGCATTTCCATTCACTTACCACAAGATGTTGGAATAGCCACTGTTTCATAATTTGTGTGGCCCGTTTAGGCAGAACACCGCGTTTTTGTTTCCCATCAACGCACAGATTATCCAGTCTGGCATGAAATGCCGCACTGTTAACCGCGGCTGCTGCTGCGCTGTACGGCGATAGGAATGGATGGAGTTGACCAAAGGCATCGTTGTGCTCCTCACCGGTTTTCGAACCAAACTGACCGGTCCCGTAGTCAAGCAGATGATAGTTGGGCGTGTAACACAGGCCACCGATATCCCCCGATGCGCCGTACGATGACCCGTGTCCATTCAGCTGTGAATAGCCTGATCGGGGGCAACCACCCAAGTCTGTGGAACCGGCTGCTAGTCGGAACTGTTCTTCTTCCAGACCGGTCAAAGGACGTCTTCGAAATTCCGGAGGGACCTTTTGGAAAGTGGGTTTGCACGACAATTTTTAGTTGCCTTACTTGGTAAAATCTAGCTTCAACCCGGACGGAAAAGTACATGACTTGTTTTTGCGTACAGGCAAGATTTTGTGGACCTTGCGAGACTGATATAAAGAGTATAAAGTAGCCGTCTGTTACGTGCGTACGGCTCATTCCCATCTTTAATGTACTTCAGGCTCGCCAGATGGGCAAAGCCCGTAGATATATAAATACTCAGTTGATTGAGGGCCGGCAAGACATCACTTTGGGGCACAAAAGAGCCACCCCCCACTTAATGAAACTGAACAGGCAGATCCCCTTTTATTGATCGACTGACGGATGGGAAGTGACGCACGTGATATGCGTCTCACTATCCACAGAAACAAGAAAAGCTTTGGGCTCAAGGCCGAAATGGAGTTCAAGCAGGAAATACAACTTGTTTTTTCTAACGCTAACCATCAGCACAAAGTTGGATATCAGTGTCAAACCCTTTGTTGTTGTCTGGAAGGATCTGCTTGGGTCAGTGTGCTGACGGCTGAGTCGCGGGGACCATGGAGCGGTGTTGGTTGTGTGAAGCTCTTTCCAGTGAAGCTTTGGTAGAGTTTTTGTGATGTCCTGCTCACAAGAACAGTGGCATGTCCCAGCCGCTGCTACTGGCCACGCATCTTACTCATTTGCTCTTTGAAGGATTACGGCAGTGTCTTATCACATCCTCGTTGACGGTCCGGTTGGGTTCTTGACCGACGTATTCAATGCAGACTGTAACCGCATTGATGATAGACTTTTGTCCATCTATTATGGTAAACCGCACTGCTTACTGTTCTCTCCTCCCCCTCAAGAGCAGCATCACCAGTCTAAGAGTGATTAGGATAACTGGGGTTTACGAATCATAAATCCGTCAAAAATGCAAATTTCCCTAGTAAATGCTATCCCAAGTGCCACTGCCTTACAGGTTGAAGGCAACACAATCATACATAGAGAAATAAGTGGGATCAGAATGCACCTGTAATTATACCGAGCCAAAGGACGAATGAAATGCAGATACAGAAATGGCACAGAATGCACCTGTAACTATACCGAGCCAAAGGACGAATGAAATGCAGAGACAGAAATGGCACAGTGACTCTGAACGCAATCAGCTTTCGTGTATCCTCCAACAACTCCCTCAATAATTACCACACTTTTGACGGAATCTGGCAACCAACCAAATGTTGAATTTCACCATTTATGTTTATTTGCTTTTCAGACCAATCAAAAAGTATCTGGCTATTCACAAACCAACCCAGCGTGATGCTGTACAGTTTGTGGCAGTTTGCTTTGCGAATCTGATCTCTCTAATGGGCTGACCTCCGACCAAATATGTGTATATCCTTTCCAAGTGGGAGTTAATCACACCGCTGATCAGCTGCTCGTGACCGAACCGTTAAGTGTTTAAACTGCTAGCCAAAATACCGCGGTTTCAGAACCCCGTGAAGTTTCGTGACATGAGGACTGTCCATGAGTCTCAGTAAGGATGAAACAGCTGTGCAGTGATCCTTGGCTCTTCAACATAGATTGGCTTTACTTACAGCATGAGATTTCAATTGAGTATTACCATATCTCTTCACACTACCCTCAGAGATGTTCTGACAGGCACTCAAACGATGTCAGTTTCCGTGGGCACAGAACTGTCAGTGTTTGAGCAGAACAATGGCTCTCAGCAGGGGCGAAACTACGCTGTTCCAGAAGAGGAGTCTGAGGGTGTGAGGACAAGAATGAAGTATTTTCACATGTAGTGTATTGCGAGTCCAGTCAAGTAAATTCTGAATCTTTCTAGGTCTCTGACTGTCTCTCCATTGGCTTATTCCATTCGACAATACATCCCCCAGTTTCCAGCCGTGGGGGTGCTAACTTTCACGTGATTCTGTTAATCACTTGTTGGAAAATGAGGCGAATGGTCACTAGTTTGTTCTCTGAGTTGGGCATTTTGATGGCAAACGTTTCATCACCAGTGCGTCGTTAGAGAGCATGGCAATGGGTCGAACCACCAGCCTCTGGGTAGGCGGACATTCGGTGGATATACTCTTCATTTTGAGGTGAATATTCGCATACCTTCGGATATATGAGTACACGCAAAAGTGTTACATTGCACAAGTGGGCAGCTTGGCTTGCGCTACTTAGAACTCTGTATTCACTTGGGAATAGGTGAGTTTTGTCACTGTATCGAAATATTGGCAGATCGGATGTGCTTTGGAGCGGTTGATCAGGTGGATGTTGATCTGTTCGCCGAGCTTGGCAATCAGCTTGCACCACGCCCTGACGATGTCTCCCCAGTTAAAAAGCTAAGCGAACAGAGCAACAACCATTTGATCAACCATCAGTAGAAGGGCTTTGGGAATGAATTCCGTCTTGCGCGAAGGTCACTCAGAGTTGGGACATTTCCGTCTCCTCCAGGAGGAAATATGACCCAAAGTTTAGTCTTAAAACATGATTCAGTGTGCTCAAATGAGAGCACTCTTCTGGAATTTCCAAAATTGGTGCGACTTACTTCAGAACGACGCAGCTAGACTTTTTTTTTACAAAATCCAACAGCGAACTAGTTACTTGACGAGAGAAAATGTTATTTCTGGAAATAGCGGAAAAAATGGATGCCCAAAGACTGCAAGCCTCCTATACTATTACATGGACATTCTGCATTACTGGGGCGTCCTTCTTGAAGCTTGACGTCGTGCCGGAACGACCAACGTGAAAATTATGATGAAATATATCAAGGCCTTACATGAAATTTTATGAACGCAATGAGAAACGTTGCAACACCACTCACAAGTTCAGCAGACGATTGGCACATAAAAGGAGGGACACCACTGGGAAAGTATCTTGAGCTGTACGCTCCAGAAGGACCTGGAGATTGAACCTCAGAATCACCGGGTGATGAAGGTTGGGAATCTGAAATAACAACGAAAATTTCAGAGAGCCCTGAGAGATAACGTCTTGTTTTTTTTTCAGTGTTCAGGCGCGTGCGTAATTCACTTCGGACAGAGAATAATCATACTCTCACCAACAATCCAATTAAGTATCGATTTAATCTTATTCAAAACGAACTATTCAATGGTGGTCGATCCCTCCTCATACTGCCACGCACGCAAGCAGACCGGCTTTTGGCGGGGTGGCGGGCACCACGGCCTGACTGACTGACTGGCTGGCTGGCTGACTTTTTTGTCGGATGAAACGGAAATTGTACTCGACTGTGGTGTTTCCTGCAACACGGGGCTGCATGCATTCGTATTGTGTGTACGACGTCAACACTTGCACATTCAATTTTGAGCCTAAGGTGGAATAGGGTGGGTGGATTGGCAAATGAATTAGTCAGCTGACCCGATGGCAGTGGGATGGGCCAGACATGGGCACGTGTTTTGTCCCGTGTTCACAGACCGGGCAGGGTCAGGCGCACAGGAGAGTTTCGCGCGCACGAAAACGTACGTACGCGGGTGGGTTGGGGGGGGGGTGTAGCATTATTGGAATTGTTTAATAGAGAAAGTGCATCCATAGAGAAACAGAGAGTAGGAAGACCCACACATAGTCAAGCAACTATGCGGGCAAGGTTTGTTTAGGGTTGTGGGCAGAGTAAGTAGCACTGAGACGAAGAATAGTTGTTTTTTTTATCCAGATATACGGCTCGCGTGCACTGGACAAAGTCGTGCATTGGTCTCAAACATGTGCTTGCCTAATGGAAGAGGCTTGGGTGTGTCCGAACGGAGAGAGCCGCGTAGCTGGCAAAAACTTTCTCGTTTTTTGTCCTGTCGGTAGAGTTTGGATTCTAACGCCGCCGATAGACAAAACAAAACAATAGCTGAACAGGCACCGAGCAGACAACGTTTCAGGCTATGCGTGGAAAAGTTTTTTTTCTAGCGCAAGGAATTAGTAGATAGATAGATATCAATGGATCAAGAGCTTCAGACCGATGAACGCTGATTTTGAAATTTATCCGGATCAATCGAGTTATTGGGTTCTGGAGAACAGTTGCCTGTCGGAATGAAGCACAAATATGCCGGAGGCGACGAAAAAAGAAACTTGCATGATAGATTATTTCTAGTTTCCAACTTTCTCCAACGCTGGTATGCATACTTTTAACGACTAGTATTTGCTGTTCGTTGGCGTCATGATCTTGGCCGATTCTGAAGCCAATACATACTATGCCAACGCCTCCCTGGCAAAGAAAACTGCCAAAAACTTTTCAATCAATTGGAAAAGGTTTGGAACCGATTGAGAAGTCATCGTGTCAGAAGAACTTGAGAAACAATCGGTAGTTTTTATTTGGCGTAGTGGATATCCAGCCAGCCTGATTAGGCGTCACTTGCGAAGGGTGTTGATACCGGTAGCGAAACTCAACAGGGAATGGATCGGGACAGCTGTTATTCCATACAAACCAGGGACATTGGAGGTAATTCGAAGAATCCTAAACATGGCTAACATAAGAGTAGTTTTCCAGAGGGGGAACACTCTGCGCTCTGCACTGGTGCAATTGAAGGATCGCCTTCCGGCAAACAGAACCAGGGACTGTGTCTACAAAATTAAATGTAATGACTGCACCAAGGTTTACATAGGACAGACGGCCAGGGAACTAC